GTTTCAGTGTCAGACTCTTTGCTTTGGATGTTTGACACTAAAATCATAGCCATGTTGTCAGCTAGTGGCAGTGTAGCTTCGCTGAACTGAAAGGGATCTTTGCCAACTGACAGCAGTTAAAAAAAGAGTCTCCTGTGTTAAAAAAATAATCTATTTTATGAAGACAGAGAGTAACTGGATTAGAGGTTCTCAAACTGTGTACTGTGATCACTTGCTAAAGGGCCTTGGAAAGCTCTGTGTTAGCTTTGTGTTGCCTTGACTTCCAGCTGAATAAATATATCTAATGCTTCCCTAAAATCTGCATTTAAGTGTAGGTAACTATAAAGAGAGAGAGACTCTGCGGTCCCCGTGAGCTAACTGGCAGAGTATTTCCAAAGGAAAATTGTGTCTCATCAATCTCCTGTAATTCCTGCGACATGTCAGTAGAGCAGTGGATGAAGTTGAGCCAGCTAAAATAATTTTCAAAAGGTGTTTGACAGGGTCCTTTATGAGACGCTACAAACATTTCTTAAATCATCATCTGTGGAGAGACAAAATATTATGAATCAAAAATTGGCTAGGTGAGCACAAGCAAAGAGAAGGATTAAACAGTCAATTTTCTTAATGGCCCTATGATAAGTTCTGGTTTTGGCAGCGAATGAACAGCAAGGTGATACATGTGGCTAGACTTTAAATCTAGATGGTACTGGTCTCCCTACTTTTTATTAATTACAATTTTTCTGAATCAGTTCAACCATTCCTGGTATCATGTGCCACACAGCAAGACTGATGGCACTAGATAAATAGCATTGCCTTAAGTCTAGAGTGAATACTATTATTTACCTCTGCATGGTACTTTTCCTGAAAAATTACCTACAAGCTAGGGTTAAAAGCCCCAAACAAAACACTGCCAAGCAGTCATTAATCCACAAGAAATGCCTTGTTATTTAATTGTCGCTGCGGAAACTGAATTTGGAGCAAGGATACACAATACTATAGATTTCTTTATTTGAAGGCTTTCCCTTCAGTAAGAAGAAAAGCCAAGTTGGCATGTTGACTAAGATTAACTAGGCTTGGACTTTTATAGCTTGTAAAACTGGACATTTACGTATAACTGCTGAAAACTGATTTACTACAGGCAGAGACGAGTGCGGTTGTAGAGCTACAATATGTATGTGAATGAGATGTGCCAATGCCACCACCACAAAGATGTCACTTTGAAACAACATAGAGGCAACCCTCACAAGGAGAAAAATGTGTAAAAAAAAAAAAAAAAAAAGAGGGGGTGTCAGAGCTACCCCTCAGTCTTGTGCATCTGCCTGCATGAGGAGGAAGGCAGTCCTCATCATCTCAAACAAGCTGTCCTGCAGTTGGGCACACATGCTTATCCACATGCATTTTTAAGCAGTCTAGTCCAGTCTTTGTTCTTTGATCCAGAAATGTTTGTTTTGCCCACTTCTGGACCCCAAATGGCTTCTCAGTGCTTCCTTTAATTAACGTTGTTCAGGACTTTAAGGTTAACTTAATCAAGTTTGGAGAAAGATCGAAATTGGTTTTAAATTAGACCATTATCTTGTAGTGAGTGGAACATTTTCTGGTGCGAGGTGTTTTGGACATATTTTTCGTGCAATTTATGCTAAAAAAATTCCCTGCTTTTTTCTCCCTCTAATTTCAAAAATCTTTTGTGTCAGTCAATGTTCTAACACCAATTTGAAGGTGCAGAGGATCTTGAGTACATTTAAATTTTCATCAATCCATTTGAAGCATTGTTTTCAGTCCAGTGGGTACTTTACGCCAATACTGCCGATCCCAAACTCCAAAGACAGGCAAGTTAGCTGGGTGGAAAAGAGAAGCTGTGCATGAAAGTTTATTTTAACAATAAAAGTTGAGTCCTTTCCTTTGAGTTAGTGAGACAGTTGCCTTTTGCGCTTACATTTTCAAAGATTTCACACCGTGTACTAAAAAAAGACCTTGATATAATCATATCTCACCAGTAGTTCTTTTAATCTGTCTCAAATATCTTCAGAGTCTAAAATCATGGGATTTGGTGCACAAGGACATATTCTGGATTTGTTTCTGCTTGACCTCGCAAAGTGTTGACGCTTGCTGGACACCCAAATCCTTTCTCCTGATTTTTGAGATTCTGTTCTTGGCAGCCAGAAGGAGGCTGTGCATATAGTTTAATGTTTCTCTTATGAAAATATATTTTACTGAGTTTAAATCTTACCATTCCTCAGTGGTGACAACCTATAGTTTGGAATATTTTTCTTGTTAGTTTTCTGGTTTTGTTTTTCTAACTTGCTTTCATTTTGTAATTATCTGAATTCCAAAGGGTAGTGATAAATACACCATATGATCACAACTCAAAATATTATTCTAGTAAATTCACATTCAGATATTCATGAAAATGGCAATTATTAACCCTGGCAAATATCAGTAGTCTTACTAAATCTTTGTGTCAGAAAGGGTTACGTCAAATTTAAATTATGTAGAAAGCTTTATTATATACCACAACGCAAAGTAAAAAGAGAGAAGAGAAGCTAGCTGAAAAAAAAAAAAAAAAAAAAACCATTAAGGCCATTTTTCATTGAAGTGTGGATGAGAAATAATCTTGGGGAAAAGAAGAAATGAAAGATTTTGACATGTCAAAAAAAAAGGTCACCCTTATTTTTAATCAGCCCTCTGGTCCTTTCCCTGGATGAAGGTATCATTGTCAGGCTGGGGCAGGCAAGGTGGGAGGGAAGAGCTCTGCTGCTGTAACAGATTGGTTTCTGCGTGGCATATAGCAGACTTCTCAGAAGATGTTTCCCTGAAGGTGACAGTGGGGGTCAACCACCGTATAACCTGGAGGAACTGCTTCTTGGGCAAATGAAAATCATAAGTACTGAATAGCATATTTCACACGTAGGATAAGTTTAGGTCAAAGCCACCAGATGTTCTCAGTCTGGCTGCCCTGATTCTTCAATTGACAGAGATAACGTAAAGCATTGCCCTTCAAAAGAAAGGGCCACATAGTTCATTCCTATGCGTACTTTTGGGCTCAGCACCTCAACTTGGAGGGAAAACCACTTTGATTGGGAACAGTGTTTTACTAGTGGAAACACCTTTAGTCTATACGCACAACGTCCCATTTTCTAGAAAGTAAGCAAATAGTCCTGTAAGGGAAAAGCAGAGAAAAGCAGCTGAGAAAGCGATACTTTTTTAGATCACAGCCTTAGGATTAAATATCCACATTGCAAATCTCCTTTTCATCAATTTATTGTCACAAACGTTTACTGTTGGAATATTTCCTAATATGTAATTCCTTAATCTTTTGAAAACAATAGCGCATGTGCCAGGTACTTGTAGCAAACAGCAATCTGGTTGCCTGTATTTTTTGTTGCCCGAATTTAAAGAACTTACTGTATATTAAACATTCCTATATACTGCTATTGCTGGCACTTAACAGATAAGGAAGTCATAAGATGAACAATCTGCCTCAAAGAACTGAAAAGCAAAGCAATTCTGATCCTGAAACTGCAAACCAGATGATGCTCTGATTAGAGGCACGCACGTAGATTACAGAAGTGTAATAAATCACATAACTTTTTAGCCTCAAATAAAATAAAAGAATGCAGGTTTTATTAGGAAATAAACTGTTTATCAAGAATGCTTTAAAGGTGACATTTATTACTAATAAACTATGTTGAAAGGGCTGATCCTTTCATTGGCAGAACAGCCGGAGACTTTCCTCTATGGAAAAAATGCCCCAGCTCAGTCCGTGCCAGGTCAGGAAGCACTTCCGCCAGCACTAAAGAAGGATGGGCAAGACACTCACCCGCATCTTTTTTACAAACAAGAACATTTTCTTTTCTCTTTAAAAAGGAATGAGTCATGGAGATATAACTCCAGTGTTATTTTGGGACTGACTGTGGATCTCAGCACGACTCCTTGGAATATCACTGAGAAACAATTCCACAGTCAGCTAATGGTATCAAAACCCAGGAAAGCATCTGCCGGGCAAACTCTTAATAATGTCAGCGAGCCCCCTGCTCAGGCAGGATGTTATTTGCCTTTCAGCTCTTGAAACTTAGAGGCAGACTCTTCAGGGTTGTCACACTCTGTGTTACTTCTCATATTAATTCCGTTAAGTTGCTGTGTACCAAATATTATGGCTGTTGCTGCTGAACATGTCAAAAAACACGTCCGTCCTTTAGCAGCCTGCACTAGAGAGGAATATAAAACCTCTGTCTTAACAAACTTCTTGCCTGAAGTGTTTAATTTACACCTCCCCAAAAGCAGCCTTGCTTTGGAGACCAGTTCATTCAGGCTTGAATGATAACAGTATTGAAGGTGGGTCTACCTGCTACCTGAAGCTGTGTCAAGGATGACTGCATACAAGTCAAGTCAAGCTACGTATGTCTCTTAGATATTAAAAAGTGTCCTTCAAAACAACAGAGGAAGGAGACAAAGGTGGAGTACAGACACCTTGTTTAGGGCTTGCCACATGTCTGTGTCCTGCAAGGCACAAACACTTTGCAGTAAGGAATTTATTCAGCTTCTTTACAATGACAAAGGCAATTTGAGGAATTAACCATTGAGGAAGTGTTAAGCGTTTATCATTCTGACCCTGTCTATGAAATCTATTTCGTGATTAGTCCATAGTGTGTACCCCATTACTTGATCATGAACTGAAATTTCTGGGTTTTTGTAAAAAAAGTTCTTTTGTTAGTCTCACCAGCCAGAATACATTGCATGATTAAAATGTGGTTGCAGATTGTCAGAGAAGTCAAACTCCTTGCACTTAAGATGCATTAACTATTCAGGAAAATGAAACGGTGCTTAAGAACTGCTCTCAAGAGTCTGTGATAAAAATCAATGTAGCTCATGTATTGTCTAGATTATATGTAAACTGGCCATTTCCTAGAAGCTGCAGTAACTTAAATATTCCACTACCCAGGCACTCTTGCTGCTGATATACTGTCATTGTCTCCTATTCCATTGACTTTCTAAACAGTTTGCTGCACAATATTGTTTTTCAGGAGATGACCCATTCATGGCCTCCACCACTCTCAGCTATTCACACACCAGGAAAGGCAGAACAAAGCAAGTTTCCCTTCCCAAACAAGGTAAGACATGCAACATGTAGAACCATGCCTCCTGCACCTCAAAGTAAGTCCTACATAAGCCCTAAGTGTGTGAGGTCTCTGGGCTGAGGCTAACGCCGTGCTGATGACCTTCTCCATGTGTGTGCCAGTATCCCCTGCCTTTTCCCTGCTCACAGCCTCTGCAGGGCTACATGATCTTCTCTGCATATCTCCTGGCAGCAGCACTGATCCCGGGGTGTAGGTCACGGGTTCCTCACCACAAGGCAAAACTGCAGGTGTCCCTGGTGGGGTGTCCAGATGTGGTGCCTTCTGTGGGCACCTGCTGAGGCTCCTGACTGATACCTCAGGGCATATACAGCTGCAGAGACTCAAGAAGCTGCCACTCTCATCCATTGCTGCTGCTTCGTTTGGCTTCGCTAGCTGAGATTTTTGTTGGAAGCAGTGAGGTCTGAGGTGGGCTTTACTAATACATTGGCCTCTGCAGTCAGAGTCTGTGGAACGGGCATACATCCCCTGCCACCAACCTGGCTTCAGGGGCAGCTTTGCTAGAGAGACAGGTAGCCATGACGCCCAGAGGGGCCACAGAAGTATTTGCCAGGGAAGTATTTGATCCCTGAAGGGACCAAGGCCACTGGTCCTGCTGATGGTGTCTTGAAACCGGCTCCACTATTCTGTGTGTACCCCAGGGAGGATGCAGTGCAGCATGGTGAAGCTCATCACCACAAGCTTGGGGAAACCACATCATTTATACTTGGTAAGTCAGGAGGGAATGAAATCAGCTATCCTATGCAAGAGCCAATAAAAATTTTGCATTGCATCACCATATACTGTTTTTATGTATATACTGTTTATGCAAGCAGATTTCATGAAGTGTTCAAGCTTGAAAGATGGTCTTAATGCTGTTTATAGCCTTTCTCCAGTTAAAGCAAGCTCCTTTGGTAACTTTTAAGTCCATTCTGCAAAATTTAGTGCAGGGAATAATTATAACCACAAAGCCAAGAAACCTTTAAGATTTGCCTACAGTAGAACAGCTTTTCCATGGATGAGAGTGTAATGATTTTGAAGTACCAGGGGTGTAAACCAAAACATCTCTGGCATGTTATGAAAGAAAAAGAAGGAAATAGTTCACTCGTTCAGGGCAGACAGCTGATTGAAGATGGTAGGTGGGCTAGAGGCTTGTTACGTTAGAGTAAGTCCTGTAGGAGGTAGATGGAACAGCAGCTTACAAGCAGGTGAAGTGCCCAGATACAGATGGCAAAAACAAAGTGGTGCTTGCAGTTCTGCGGTTTCTGCCGTAATTATCACCGTGCGATGTGCTTGCATGGAACACATGCAGACGTGCGTGGGCAAGGTATGCACCTGTCAGCGCAACCGTGTGGCCATCGTGAATGCACTTCCTCACCACTAAATGTATTGTGATAAATATAGGAATAGGAGAACCACAGACCATAGGGCAAAGATATGTGAATAATGGTTGATATTGACTTTCTCATCTTCTCTTTGCCCGTTCATCCATCTCTCTGGAAAACATTCTAATAGTTTGAACTGCAGAGCTGTTTCAGAGATCTACCATTCATTTTTAAAGAGCCTTTTCTAGGTGGTTTCCTTTTCTCTTACCAAAGTAGAATTTCCATTTTATTTAAGCTTAGGATGGACAAGATTTCATCTAATAATATATGAGCACGCTTTTGTACGTATAGTAACATCACAACTGTCTTGTGGCCTGGGTGGTTTGCACGGTCAGAAATTAGAGTGCTTTGTGTGAGATGGGGAAGAAGTACTTAACAAAACTCACCAGACTCCTGGAAAAATTCTTCCTTACTGGCCATAGATCATGTTAGTTTTAGACACCGCCTCTATTTTAAAATATTTAAAATTATTTAAAAGCTACTTCTGTAGCTTACTCTGAATCTGTACAGTCGCAGACTTTATAAGGCATCTGCTTTTCAAGCTCTAAAATGCAAAGAATAGTTTCCTAATTTTTCAAACATGTTTTTGAAACGTTCATAAGATAGCTATCGCCTTTCACAAAGTGTGGTGTAAAATCTTTAGTGGATCTCATAGGGGATGCCTCCATAACTCTCAGGAAGCTTTCCCACAGGTAAGCTACGTAGATGTCCCAACTTTTTAAAACCTAAGGACTACACCAAACTGTTGTGGACCGCACATTATTCAGATAAATGGGGCTGTCAGTTAAGTGGTGGCCAAGGCCAGCAAAGAGTCTAAGAGGCTAAATTCAGGGCATCAGCTTCATCTCTTAGTTCCTAGCGGTGCATGGTACCATGAATTCATTTCCAGTCTTTATGGCAGTGTTGAGCAATCAGTTCACTTCATTTGCAATGACTCTTCCAGCCAGAGAAGCAAGTAGGCTGCAATCCTTTTTAACAGAAGACAGTTCCCAAGTGTAAAGATACTCATCATTTTGGGAATGAGAAAAAAGAGAAGCTTGTAGGACTCCTGCCCTGTTGCAATGATCTAAATCATGCTTACTTTTCTGTCTAGAAAAACTGAGTGTCAGCATCATTAGTTCCAATACATGCCACACTGCCTTTAACCTGCAACTCAAGTAATTAGCGATCTAACAGCTTGAAACTTGAAATTTATTAATTAGGCTATTAAAGTTGCAGAGGCCACAGCAACTACAGCTAGAGTGTTTTTGAAATCAGCCTAGTAATAAAGGCTAAATAACTGAGGTTTATATTTCACAAATATAACAGAATTGCATATTTGAAACTGCCTGCGTGGATGTGTCCATCTATGTAACTGCGCTTGGCGGATGGAGGGGATGTATGTGCGTATGCTTTACCTGTATATGAAATCAAAACTCATTAACATGGCAAGTCTGCACTGATGCACATGAATGGAAGGAAAGTCCAGGTCAGGTTTGAGACGTGCAGCACTGCCCAGTAGGTTTCCCAGCACGGCGCTGCCGGGAGAGCACATTTAGGGAACTATCCTTTATGTAATAGAGGGCATAAAGTTACATTTTATCCTTAACTTTGAATTTTCTTTCTCTGTGGAATTAATTTGTGCTCTTGAATTTAGTAGGAAGGGGTAATGACAGTCTCTTTATTTCTTGTTCTTCAAAGCTTAAGGATAATTGAATCAGTGTGTGATGTGACAGGCTGTGTGTGCTTTCCTTTCTCCTATCTATGTCACACTTTGTTACGTACAAATGATCAGGCATTATTTGATTGTAATTTTATTAAAAGCATCTTAATAAATAAACTTTAAATGAATAATTAAATTCGGTAAATAAGAGCTCACTTGATGCTTGTGTGAATGAGCTTTCATGTTCAGGCATTAATTCTCTACTCTTGTGCAGGAAAAAAATGCTGTTAATTCTGCTGCCGGCTTTGCTCTCTTTCTTCATTTTTACTGTGATTTCATGTCTTGAAAGTTTGATCAGGTGTTTGAGTTCTAGTTATGTGTATGTGATATTATGGGATCAGCCATCACTTTCTTATTTAAGAATTAGTTTATCCAATCCAGGAGAACTGGTGTCTTGTCACAAAGCTATTGGGTGATTATTCTCAGCAGAAGCTAAGTTATCATAGCAGTGTTATTCTTTAAGTGCTCAATTAATTACTCTTTCCTTTCCTTTCCTTTCCTTTCCTTTCCTTTCCTTTCCTTTCCTTTCCTTTCCTTTCCTTTCCTTTCCTTTCCTTTCCTTTCCTTTCCTTTCCTTTCCTTTCCTTTCCTGTTGATTTTAACAAGCTGGAACAAATGCACTAGAAAATAATCTCCAGAAGTGAAGACTTCACCTTTGCTTTTTAAGTTGCATAAAGTCGTACTTTTTTCCTACCTGAGTGGAAGCATTCTTTTTTTCACTATTAGATTCTTGTATTAGCCTTTATTATTAAGAATAATTTGATGAGAATCAAAATACATTCCAAAGAATCGATTAAAAGGAAAAGTAAAAATGTTATAGCTCATATGTTTTACTGATGTGAAATTTGAGACTATACAGAGCCAATGGCAGAGGTAAGATACTGTGCTAGACAGTTAAAGGGGAGGGTGCATTCTTCCTGAGGTTGATGAAAATGTAAAAGAGTGAGCAAGATCCTGGTTTAGTAGTTTCAAACACTTTTCCAAACACGGGGGTATTTTCATCAAAATTATTGTATTCCCCCAAACTTCTGTAGGTACATAAATTCACTATTCTGGGAACTGAACATGTTCTGATAGCCTACTTTTATTGGCAGCCTGGATGGCTACTAGAATAGCATTTAAATTCAAGTGTACATGTCACTACATCACCACTGCAAGTTGATCCTGACTTCTTAAGATTATATTCAGTCACCAGAAAAAAACAGGCTTTAATATCCCTTCATCAGAAGCATTCACAAAAAGCTGAGGCAATTTGTCAAAAGTAGACAATTTCAAATTATTGAGGAATTATTGTGGGCGTGTGAAACACGGTACAGATCTTTTCATACTGCAGCTGAAGGTAGAAACTCTTAGGGCTTGCCCAAAAATTTCATGTCTCACATTTCAGGTGTGTAGGATGCCAGTGAATTGCAGATGTGTATTATAGCATAAAAATCACAGATCAAAGCCATGCTGTCTGGAGAGCCTTGACTCCACAGCAAATGGTGCAGATCGAGGGGATTTAACAAGCCAAGCTCTTAAGACCCAGTGCCTGCGGTCCAGCCAACCTGCATTTAGAGATGCCAAGAAACTCTTGGGGCCCCGAACCCCTGAGGCGTGCTTCGGAGTGACTCAGCAGCAAAATCTCAGCTCAGCCGAGCCGGAGCATCCTTGAGCTCTCTGGGGCCTTGCAACTCCTTTCTTGATGAGCTGTGCGTTTGGCTCATCGCTCAGTCTCTGTGGACCGAGGATCTTGTCTAGTGCCCAATTCCTCACCAAAAATGACCACGTGTGTTGCTGTGGGTGCCTGGCCTCTCCGAGCAGTCTTTACTGCAGTTGTAAGAGCAACATGAATACGAGGTGGTATTCCTGCGCGTGTCTGGGTTATTCAGAAGCAGAGTTAAATGCAGGTTACCTTCGCTGCTATCATCCATAGCAAAGTGTTCTTTTTTTTCCTTAATTTAAACATCTTTTTCTTATAGCTTATATTTGTATTTCCCCTCTATTTATAAGCTTCCTTTATATTTTTATGAATGCAAACAAATTCTGTGAGTAAAATATGTGAACATTTGCACATGAGGAAAAAATGGTCTGATTTATTGCACCATATTCATAGATATTGCGGTTGTGATACAAGGTTGGCCTTGTAATCTCGGGGACCCAGAACTAAAGTCTGTATTTCCATTCTCTGGTGCTGTCAATATCAACATGTGAAAAGGACAGACCAGCTGTGCTACTACCTCAGGAATCCAATGGTCCATGAAACAATATTGGCCTTCCCTCTGTCTTCTCATCTAAACTTGTAGAAGGTAATAGACGAGTTTTGGCTGATCAATAAATGAATAGCGAGCAGGAGAGTCGTAATAGCTATACAAGGAATCGCACCATTAAAGGGTTGTTGTGAAATAAGTTTACAAGCCTTAGAATTAATGGATTTTCAAAGAAATATTGGATTTATTCTTGTAATTGAAAATTACTTTGAAACTGAATGAACAATTAACAATGCTGTTTGTGTTGTTAAGGTAATGTTCAAGCAAGTATTTCAGCTAAAAATTGCCATAAAAATAACACATTGTACCTTTTTTCTATTATTACTATAGGAGTCACAACAGGGATCTACAGGACACAGCAATACAAGTAAGTACCAAGTAATTTTCTGGCTGCATTGGGTGGAGGGGATGACAATGACTATGAAAAGCAAGTGACTGATAGAGTAAGGAACCAGTAGCAGACTGGGACAGCACAGAGCCTCAGCAGGCAGTACTGGGCTACGGCCAAATGTGGAGAACTGAATTGAAGAGTGACCATCAAAATGTCAGCTCTTTTGGTGGACTGGGAAGAACAAAAAGGATTCATTTCGTTATGGCCATTTCATTATGTAGATGAGAAAGACTGAAAGGGCAAAAGAGTGGCTTTTTTAGAAAGCCAGAAAAGAGCTGATCTAGTTGCACATCCAGATCCAGACTGCCAGAAAATTCTGCAGGAAGACTTGTTATCATTTATCTTTCATAGGCAATGGTGTATTTTGTGGCTATTGCACAGTAATAAGCTACGTGAATCCTGCCAAACTAACACCAGATAATGTCTCAAAGACCATATGGCCTTGGGTCTTTTTGGCTAGTGGCATGGGCAGGGGAGTGATGTGTGCTTGCGTGGCTCCTGGTTGGGGCTTTTCAGTGGACTCCAATTTACAAATCATGGTGCAGATCAGCAGCACTTTAATTACATTTAGTTACGGTAAAAAACTTAGCAGATGTATTGAAAGCAAAGATTGAATTGTTCTGCGAAACAAAATATTAATCCTCTCCCCTGACACCTCCGACTGTAGTTAGTGTTGTCTTGCATATTAAAAAGACACGATCCTATCCTGTTCCCAACATAAAATCTTCTCAACCAAAAGAACTATTTTGCTAGCTTCCTGACCTGTCAGCCGGCACAGAGCCCTGTTTGCAAATTACGGGGCTGTGACTGAAGATGAAAAATGCCCTGAGCTGGTAGGTAGGGCTTTGACAGTGGCTGGTCACCTGCTGCGTGAGGGAGAAGACATCCAGAGAGACAAGGCTGCGAGATGTAGGCTATTAAAACAGTGTGGCTCTTTGCTGGGGAAAGGTCGGCATGCGGAAGACAATTTTGTGAAGAAACATGCAGTGGTGTCACTTAATTGCTGGCATCGGTTTGATATTGCTGCGAGCACCAGCACTAAGGAAATAATAAAAGGCAAAGGGGATGAGGTTCTGTCAGAAAATAATGAATACAGTAATGAGAGAAGGAAGCACGAAAGGGCCATAATAGAGAGGGCTATGCAAACACACGCAGAGTCGCGAGCATGACAAACACACCAGCTGAGCTGAGGGCTTCGCGATGACATCAGAGGCCACAGCGTTTGGCCAGCTTTGGTCACAGTTTCATTTTCAGTATTTCCTTCTTTCAGCACTTGAGTAAAATAGCTTGTTCTGCAGATCTAATGAAACCTGCTTTCCTGTGGATTAGGAAATCAGTCCTTCCCCATTACAACTTTCCTCTGCTCCTTACTCCAGTGGTCTCCAACCTCATTTGACTTCCGGTTCCCCCATCTGCCCTCCCACACCACAGTACCTCCAGCTTCTTCTAATCTCCTCATTCATCCTGCTCAGCAAAATCAGCATATATTTCAGCTGGGCTGGAGCTACGCTTGGTACTGCCTGGCTGGTGGCAGAAGTTAGGGTTGCTGTCAGAGACCCAGACACTTTTCCTAATGTTGCACAGGGAATTTAACTGCCTCTGAGACCTCTATCCATGAGGATTACTGTTGAGGTGCTGGCATAAGATGTCGAATAAGACACAGTTAGAATGAGACATAGACCTTACCGATCCTGTACATCAAACTCAAAGGAAATTCGGGTAAAAAAAAGGATTTGGATGTGAGGAAATACTAGCAAATGACTCTATGTGGGAAAGAAGTCTAATGGTCTATGCACTGTGTTATCCAAATGCACATCTTCAGAGTCCCAATTAGCTGTTATTTCCCATTGCACCATGTCTTCTTTGGAGTGGCTCTTGAGCCTGTCCCTTGCAATGGTTTTACTCCAGCTGCAAATACTGTCGTTCTCATGGACAACATTTGCATTTCTCTCATCCTTCCCCCACAAGGAAATCAAAGCATTTAAAAACCCATAACGGCTGAAGTTATACCGCTCTGTCACAATAAATATTTATCCCTGTTACCCAGAAAGGGAAACTTGGCCTGATTAGGTTGAGTGATTCACTCAAATTCCAACTCAGAGGAGAGAACTCCTTCTCTGGCCACCCACTATTCAATGGGGAAATCCTACAAAAGTTCATTTGGAATTTATTTTGAAATGGGAGATAATCTGGACACATCTTCTCTGCTTGCATCTAAAAAGATTAGGAAGGGAGCTATGTGAGATGAAGTGGAAGCTAGCAAAGAACGCCCAGCTCTGTGACTGAGGATCTGAGGACTGATGGTTCCCACTGCATGTTTCTGGAGGCATGTGTCTGCAAACACACACCAACACACAGACACACACATGTCCACACCCATTTCAGGAGACATACACAGTGCTTAGCACCTGAAATAAAGGGTGTTAACAGCAGTCCAATAGCGAGGTGAGTAGCATATTCTTTGTCAGTTCTAAAAAGACTAAGAAAAACAAAGGACAACACAAATTTGCCCGTAAGAAGAAGACAGAGCTAGAGAGGATTTAGCAATTCGGCAAATGCCAGGCTCCCACAGTGGTACCTGCATGCATTTGGCAGGTTACGTGGAAAATGGAAATCAAATCCTAGTTTCACCAAGAGTGAAGGTGAAAAAAACAAGTTGTTGTGACAGGTAATTCCTTTTTACATATGCTCATCCAAAAATCTTATCTGTACCATAGCTGTGACATTAAACTATGCTTAGTCTATACACATTTTTTAAGTTTCTATGATTCAGTCAAGTGAGAGCAAAGTTGGTCAGAATTGATAAAGCATTAATGGCCAGATTTTCTACTCTGGTAGTCCAGACTGATGTGTTTCTACCATCTGTACGGGCTTCATCCTCCCCCTCTGCACAGAAGTATGTTAAGTGACGATTAGCATAAAAGCAGCTGCAAATGCTTACTGTAGGGTAATTCATTAATATCCAGTTTGGCTAAATCACAGAGATTCTCTTTTCTCTTTCCTCACAGTACT